TGCTAGATATTTCCAATTATGATTTTCCTAGTAACAAGCAAAAGAAAAATGAACAGAAGCTGCATCCCCCAAAAGCTTAAACTATATTACTAATAAACTTTCAAAGAAAACTCTCAATGAAAAAAATAATAAGATAAAAGTTACTGTAATAACCCAAATATAGAAATAAAGGGAAAATTTATCAAAATGCAGAAAACAGCTTTCCTGCCATGATCCCATTAACTTATAATAACTTATACACAGTGGTGTTTTGACATTACTAAGATCCTTGAATTTCTCACAATGCATGTATTTTAATCTATAGTCTTTAATTAAAATTGGCCTATGTCAGAACTGAAATTACTCTACAACTCATGACCACACCATATCCGGCTCAGATTTTAACAAGCTAGTTTGTTTTGATGAAAATGCTTGGTCACATTAAAATGGAAAATTGTGATCACATATGTGGTGATCTTAATATAGAGTAAATCACAGGAACACATGTTTTTGCATTACTCAGTCTGATCGTTTGTCTTCACTGAAGAAGCTTTGTAGCTTTTCTAAATACTAAAATTTTAATCCTTGGGACCATGCCAGTAGGCAGATTTACCTAGATGGGCTGGGATAGGTAATAGTGACTAAGTAGGCAGTAGTTGTAATTATTATTTTGTAAGAGGTTAGAAGCCTTGAATATAATAAAGATGCAAATGGCTTTCCCCTAGTTATTTTTAGTCCTGAATAGAATGTGTAAAGTTCAAAAGCAAGGACCCTGGAATTTGACAGGCATGGATTTAGCTGCAAACACAGCCTAGTCTATGCAATTTATTTAACATCTACTGACCTCTATTGCTTGATCTGTAAAATGGGCTTTAAAGTAAACACATGATGAAGTTGTCATAATAGTTTAATGATGTCTCTCATGGGACCGAATATAATAGACACTCATGTAAAGTTCCCTCTCCATCACCTATGTGTGTATATTCCATTTGCTTCTGTCTTAAGTGCTGAGACAAAGTTGAACAAGCAACATCTAATCTAAGTAGCATAATAAATTATGTTGAATCATCATGAATAGTATATGGTGAAGATTCATAAGGCCTTAATAATGATTATAATTAATATTTATTGAAGACTCACTTTTGTGCTGGGTACTATGCTGTGTCTTACATGCATTCTTTTACTTAATTTTCAAAGCAATTCTATGCTGGCATTTTCATCATCATTTTCATCCCCAAGTACCCCATTTGAAGTGATCATATATGTACATATATTGCAGTAGGGAAATCATAGTATTAAATTTATCTCACCTTTTTCTTTTGTCTTTTTACCTGGCTTTGAAAAGTTTCAAATTGCATATGTGGCTTGCATTACTTTAGTATTGGTTAGTATGCAGCGTTAGAGTCAGACCACCTAACTCTGTCACATTCCAGCTGGGTGTAAATGGAAAACTACCCTTTCAATGTTTTTAATTTGTAAACTAGGGATAATTAGAGCATCCATCTCAAAGGAATATGGTGTGAATAAATAAATTCATACACGTAAATGGCTCCCAATTGCCATCTGCACATGATCACTCTAAAAGTTCATAAAAGGGGAAAAACGGCAAGACCTAGTGATTATAGAAGTCAAGAAAGAAGGGTTTAAGGTAAGTTGCGTTAATGCAATACTGTAAGCAGGGTGAGCAGTGCTGTACTGGAAGGTAGATTATTTCAGGGTATTTATAATAGTCAAAAATCTCTGTCAGTAGGATACCGGTCATCTTGGCCAGATTGATGCTGGTCATATTGATCCAACAGATCCTTAAGTGGTGATAGGGAACTATCTTCAATGTATTTGAAGAGCAAAACATCTCTCTTGGAAAAAGGGCAGCAGAACACTCCCCAGAAGCAAGGCAGGGGGTCCCTTCCTCTCCTACTTTGGACATGTTATCCAGAGAGACGAGGCCCTGGGAAAGGACCGCGTGCTTGGTAATGCAGAAGGGCCATGGGAAAGAGGAAGATTTGCCAAACCAAATGGATTGACAAGGTGGTTACAACAATGAGCTCAAACATAGCAATGGTTGTGAGGCTGGTGCATGACTGGGCAGCGTTTTGTTCTGTTGTACATAGAGTCTCTATGAGTCAAAACTGATTTAACAATACCTGACAACAGCAATGCATATATATTTGTTTAAATATGCTCGGATATCTCTGGAGTGAGTCACAAGAAATATGTCGTGTCTCTAAGGCAGAAGACTGGTTGGCTAGAGGGGAAGTTACTTACTTGAGGGGCAGTGACTTATAGAATAGAGGTAATAGAATGACTCCCAGTAGTTAGTTGAAAATTCAAGCTTTGGTTTTTAGGCCAAATACATACCCATTGAGATAATTACCTTTCTTTTCTCTAATTTTAGGCAAAGGCAAATAAATATTATTAAATAACTGTTTTAATGCACCAGCTAATGAAATTCAACTGCCACTTTATTAGGTTTCTGTGAACATTTCAGAACTCCAAGGGAGCCAGTCTTCCCTCGGCTCCCTCTCTCTTCAGCTGCCCTGTTTTCAGGCTTGTAAATCATAGAAGAAAAGATAATCATTCCTCTGTTTTCAGGCTTGTAAATCATAGAAGAAAATATAATCATTCCTGTGCTCATTATTATATGATTTGATGAGGCCTATAAAAGAAGGCTGAACAGGGGGGTGGGTGGGGGCGGAGAGTGTCACAGGAATGGAAGTAACATTGGGACTAGGTCTTAAAAGATGAATCTATCCGGCAGAAAGTTTGGAAATGAGTATTTCAGGCAGAGGGAGGGCAGAAGGAAAGGAGGCAGGTGGGCAAGTCTGATTGTCTGATCTGAGAGCAGCCAGTCATCTTCTGTGGCCAGGGTAAGTTATATCTTTAAGAACGGATCAAACTGAGTGGCAAATTGGTCTGTTAGAAGATACTCTGAAGCCCTGTGCAGAACAGCTTGCTGTCACACATCTAGTTGTCGTCTGTGTCCTTTGATTATGGGTGGAAGCCATCCATCTCAACGTAACTACGCTGGTTGCTGTTGCTATTTTCTAACAAACACATTTGTAAAGAACAGAGTTGACTCATCAGAAAGTTCTTCACGGTGGGGCAAATAGGATAGATTCTGGAAAAGATGGGGATGTGACAGACAGACAGACTGACGGAAAGCAAACCCAAGGACACTTGAGAATTAACAGTGGGAGGAAGGCTGAAGCTAGGGACTCGCAAGAACTGTGAAATCAAGGAAGCACTGGGAAGCTGGTTTAGATGCTGGGTTTGGGTCTCCTGTTTCTGCATCCTTACTGATTGTTATGGTGTGTTGGTCTGGATTTACTGGAGAAACAAATCCAGAGACGCTTGCGTGTGTATAAGAGAAAGCTTTATATCAAAGAGCAATTGTATATTAATTTAACATCCCAGCCCAGTCCAGATCAAGGCCCTAGGTCTAATATTAGCCCAGATGTCTGATATTAGTCCGTAAATTCCTTTTTAGACTAACACGACACATGCAATGATGCTGAATGCAGGAAGATCACAGATCTGTGGATGGAAAGTCTTGTGGATCCAGTGGTGGTGGAAGCATCTCTAGGGCTCTGGCTTCCATCAGCATGGCTCCACGTGGCTTGTCAACAGGAAGGCAAAGCATCAAGTCTTTCCCACCTCCAGGGAGGAAGAGAGGAAACTCCCAGAATTCTCCTGAGAAGGTCATGCCCATAAGGAGACATCAGGCTGTGACCTGATTGACCGACTAGACTCCACCCCTATAACCTATTTGTCAAGTTGACATGAAATTATGTAACTACCACATATAGGTATCAACAATTATAATTTATTTAAATCAAGAGCCTAATAATCACGTTTTACCTAACAGTTAAAAATCATTAAATCTACCAAATTCCTTAGCGTAGTATTGAACATCCTCTAAATTTTGCATGTTCATCCTGTCAGACTTGTTGGAAAGGCTGTATACAAGGAAAGCCATAAGCACCATCCACCCCGTCTCCTGTTCCCTGCTAATTGGGCAGTCCTCCTTTCCAAGTCTCCCAGAAGCTTCAGTGCAAGTTTGCCCCCTGGGAAATGTTTCTTGATTGGTGTCAGCTGTGTTCCGCCCTTCTCCTTAAAGAAGCTTGCCCGATAGGGTCAGGACTCAAACCCAGATCTGTCCACCATGGCCCCATGGCTTATCTAGCTCTCGACAATCTCTTCCTTCTTTACACTGGACACTCAGACAACACAATTCCGTTTCTTATTTGACATTGCCGTGCTCATTGTCTTACATGGCTCCTCTTACCTGCATGGCAGGTGAGAAATCTTCAAGAGCAGAGCTGTGGAAGACAATACCGTCTACTCCACCCCCACTCGCATGAAGACAGTACGTGGTGTGTTTGTAGCAGTAGAAGCCAGGTGGCTAACACTTCTAATACCCCCATAGAATGCATGCAACACCAAGAAACATTCATTGACTTTCATCTCGCAGCCCTGACGGCCTGGTGGGTTATTTGTCGGGCTGCTAACCCCAGTTCGAAAGCAGCAGTGTCAAAGCAGAGAACGAGGAGGCTTTGAACTTCCGTAGTAACGATTTAGCCTCCGCGGTGCTGTCCTACTGAGTCACCGCGAGTCGGAGGCAACACCACGAGGGAGTTGGCTTGGGCTTTCCTGCCAGGCTCTGGAGGTCCAGGCATGCCGCTCATGGCGGCACAACGCTGGAGGACAAAAGTGTTGTAAGGACCGTGTTTCTGGGAGGCTACTACATCAGTGAAATACTGGCTTTGATGATCATTTTAATTGTTCTAGATACCAAGTAATGCTTCTGACTTTCAAAAAATAAATGATGGTTGGCTTTTCTTCTGAGTGACTGGCCCGTTTTGTTTGCTGAACCTCTGAGAACTGGCCCTGTGTTCAGAGAAAGGAATGGGATGGTACAGTGGTCCCTTCTGGGAGTGTGTTTATATTCTCCTGGTTTTTATGTCTGTTTATATCTTCCTGGCTTTCTCATGATGCAGCGTATGTGTTTTCCTTCCTGTTAGGATTCCCTCCTGAGGGCCCCTTTCCACGTCATCTTGAGATTGGCCTAATCGAAGACGGAGGTGATGAAGTCGGTCCTAGATGGCCTCGCAGATACCACCTTCCGCACCATCACGACAGACCTCCTCTACGTGGGCTCCAATGACATTCAGTACGAAGACATCAAAGGCGACATGGCCTCCAAACTAGGGTACTTCCCTCAGAAATTCCCTTTAACTTCCTTCCGGGGAAGCCCCTTCCAAGAGAAGATGACTGCGGGCGACAACCCCCAGTTGGTCCCAGCAGACCAGGTGAACATTACCGAGTTTTACAACAAATCTCTCTCGTCCTACAAGGAGAATGAGGAGAACATCCAGTGTGGGGAGAACTTCATGGACATGGAGTGCTTCATGATCCTGAACCCCAGCCAGCAGCTGGCCATCGCTGTGCTGTCCCTCACGCTGGGCACCTTCACTGTCCTGGAGAACCTGCTGGTGCTCTGCGTCATCCTGCACTCCCGCAGCCTCCGCTGTAGGCCTTCCTACCACTTCATCGGCAGCCTGGCAGTGGCAGACCTCCTGGGCAGCGTCATTTTTGTCTACAGCTTCGTTGACTTCCACGTGTTCCACCGCAAAGACAGCCCCAACGTGTTTCTGTTCAAATTAGGCGGCGTCACGGCCTCCTTCACTGCCTCCGTGGGCAGCCTGTTTCTGACCGCCATCGACAGGTACATCTCCATCCACAGGCCCCTGGCCTATAAGAGGATCGTCACTCGGCCCAAGGCCGTGGTGGCGTTTTGCTTGATGTGGACCATCGCCATTGTGATCGCCGTGCTGCCTCTCCTAGGCTGGAACTGCAAGAAACTGCAGTCCGTTTGCTCAGACATTTTCCCACTCATCGACGAAACCTACCTGATGTTCTGGATCGGGGTCACCAGCGTGCTGCTGCTCTTCATCGTGTACGCCTACATGTACATTCTCTGGAAGGCCCACAGCCACGCGGTGCGAATGATTCAGCGGGGCACCCAGAAGAGCATCATCATCCACACCACCGAAGATGGCAAAGTCCAGGTGACTCGGCCTGACCAAGCCCGCATGGACATTAGGCTGGCCAAGACCCTGGTCCTGATCCTGGTGGTTTTAATCATCTGCTGGGGCCCTCTGCTTGCGATCATGGTGTACGATGTCTTCGGCAAGATGAACAAGCTCATTAAGACGGTGTTTGCCTTCTGCAGTATGCTGTGCCTGCTGAACTCGACCGTGAATCCCATCATCTACGCTCTGAGGAGCAAGGACCTGAGACACGCTTTCCGGAGCATGTTCCCCTCATGCGAAGGCACCGCGCAGCCTCTGGATAACAGCATGGGGGACTCGGACTGCCTGCACAAGCACGCCAACAACGCCGCCAGTGTTCACAGAGCCGCCGAGAGCTGCATCAAGAGCACGGTCAAGATCGCCAAGGTGACCATGTCTGTGTCTACAGACACGTCTGCCGAGGCTCTGTGAGCTGATGATGCTTCGCTGGCAGCCCAGGAAATGAAATCCGTGGGTGGTTTTTGTTTTCTTTTGTTTTTTCCTCAAAACCTAGAGGAGTGTGTCGTCTCATCGGTTATGTTCTTAAGTTTACCATGCTCAGCGAAATGGTGATGGCTCCCATGTTCACTTATGAATTCTCTGGCTTTCGACAATTCAGACACTTGAACTAAGTTCCCCAAGGGCGTCCGGTGAGGAGACCCAGCTGCTTCGATGACTGAAAGGTCTTGCAGAATCTCCCAACAGAGGAACACCCTTTGGCTGTGCAGTTTGAAGTCTGAGTGTCCATAGAAAACGCCATCAACTGATTAATGCCATTGTAACCATCAGTCTCCTGATAATGTGAAATGTAATTGTCCACAGTATCACAGGTGTCCGTTTCTGCCACAGTTACACTACTGAAGTAGAGCTATTTTGTGACATGTGTTGTGTCCTAGGAGATGTGTATCCATGTTTACGATGTGTTATTTATATTTGTCTAGTTCAGCTAAACTAAAAAACATTTATGAGAACAATGGGAAGGAAAAAAACAGTGGATGTATGCCAATCACTCTTTTTCATTCCCTACACAGTATCTTTAGAAACCTTAGTATATGGTCAAATGGCTGTTTAACTTTGACATAGAAATTCCCATAAAGGTTTATTTTTCTGTTGACCTAGGACTTTGAAGACAATACTCAGTCAAGTTTTCAGCTCAATTCAATGACATTTAAAATTGTCACAAGAAGACACGTTATCTTCTGGACGATACTGTTCTCTTGGGTAATGGATTAAAATCCGATTGGAAGAGAGAAGGCACACTGACTTTCCTGGCTGATCTCTCTGACTTTCCTTAGTCTCTACATTTTACTGGACCTCTTAAGACAGCATGTGTCAATCTTACTGTATATTGTTCTCACTGTGCAGTTGCTGTTTACTTGAAGAGTATTGCATTCTTACATTCCAGGTAAAAGTGGATCTTATGCCTGGGTGGCCAAACAACAGTCTTCGTTTTATTTTTTTAAGTGGAGAAGTATTGTCTGGATCCATAAAATTATGCTGTGTGTGAATATAAATGTGCGTGTGTGTGTGTGTGTGTGTGTGTGTGTGTGTTTCTCTTCTCTAACTGTTACAGTAATGTCATAAAGTGAGAAAACTGTGACCAAGTGTAAACTGTATCACTTGCTACGCTCTTGCACATGAATTCAGTTTCTAAAATTGAGTTCTTCCAGAAATCTTGGTGATAAAAATACTGACTGTTTGGAAGCCAAGTTCCCCTCTCTCCTCAAAGAGATTGGGTTAAGTATTGCTAACTTGACTTTTAGGTGTTAAAAGGAGTGTGTAGCAGGGAATCATCAATGACAAACTTTCCAGTGACGGATTGCATCTAAGTGTTAATGCTGGGAAATGAAAGTGTTCCGGCTCTTGAGCACTTGATAAATCCATGATGATGTAATTCTTAAAAAAAAAAGACCAACAAACTATAAAATGTATCAATTGTGTATGGAAAGTAGTGTGACCCCTGATCAAGTGAAACAATAGATAGTGAGGAATTCCTGGATGATGCCAGTGGTGAAGTGCTCAGCTTCCAGCCAAAAGGTTAGGGGTTCCAGGACACCTAGCGGTGCCGCAGAGGGAAAGCATGGTGATGTACCTCTAACAAAAATCAACCATTGGAAACTGCGTGGAGCACAGTTCTGCTCCGACACCGGAGGCCATCCTGAATCAGAGTTGTCTCAAGGGCAGCTGGGGAGAGCTTGAGCAGTCAGAACACAGCACGTGAGAGTAAGACTACAAGGCCAGAGCCCTGTGGCTAAGGAGGCTGACTTGGGCAGTGGATGAGGCAGCAAAGGGCAAGGAGGGCTGACACTGGGGGTTGGGCGGTTGGGACCTAGTTGATGAACGACTGCTCCCGTGCTTCACCGGGTGCTCTGCCTGGCAGCCAAGCCGCTGACTTGCCTTTGGCTGAGTCTGTGCACTTGCCCTCTGCTCATGGTTTGGAAGAACTGCTAAAGAATAACTATGAGTACATCCTTCTCTTTGGGCCCCAGCCTCCTACTTTTTAATGGTGCCAGTGTGCTCAGAATGCCAGCTATTTTTCAATAAGGAAGGACTAAGACACCTTACCAAGTCACTTAACCCCGACATCTTTTACACACCATCCATTCTTTGTTGGGATAAATTGTCATTGCTACAGCATCCCAAGACCCGCGGAGCGTGAAGAGAAGGAGACATCTGGTGTTTGGGGATTTCTAGTTAGAGAATGCCTCTTCTTGCAAGTTATGGCCCAAGATTGAACATGGTCTCTGGCCCAAGCTGGAATACTTTTTAACTGTTTATAGAGCTTAGACCTTACCTGATGACTCCTCTTGTTTCACCTCTCTGAGTGATGCTGATGAGGGCTCAGAATGCTACCAAGCCTCCCTGCCATCCAGTGGTTTCCAACTCACAGCAACCCTATATGACAGAAAAGAACTTCCCAAGAGGGTTTCCAGGATTGTCATCTTTTGGGAAGCAGGCAGCCCCATCATTCTCGCTGCAGGGCAAATGGTAGGTTTGAATTGACTGCTGACCTTTTGCTTAGCAGCTGAGTGCTTCAACCACTGTACCACCAGGGCTTGTCTCAGGATGCTAGAGGACTAGAAAGTTTTCTAGGATAGAAACTTATTTGCAAAAACAAAACAAGAAAACAACCTCACCAGGGTCTAGTTTCCATTTAAGAATTGCCTGTCTTTTGTCCTGAAGCTCCCTAAGTATTCACCCACACATCTGGGAGCCCACCAGGCACTTACGGGGCAAAGTAGCAGGGGGGGGGGGGCGGGGGGGGGGGGTGGCAGGAGAGTCTTTTTTCACAGCTAAGAAGGTCTGTTGGAGATAAACATTTTGTTCTAGGTAGAAAAGTTTCAAGACTCATTTTTTGGAACTGTTTTTGTATGTATGTAATGTAGATTTTATAGTGTGTTGTGCTTTCACAATATACATTGTATCTAATACATTAAGGGACAAAGGGGCTGATAGCACTAAACCTGGTGCTTATTGATATTCTAAGAAATATCTGAAATACCATCATCTATGTGTTGTACCATCTTCATTTTAAAAACATTTAAAGTTAGTTCAGTTCACTTTGACATTTTTAATATCATTTCCTAACCCGAGTGACTAAAATGTTCTCTCTAATGAATAAACTCATTAGAATTACCATTCATTAGTATCGTTCATTAATTAGACCTTTAATTAGATCCATTCATTTAAATATAATTTAAATATCAGTAAGCTTTATAAGGACCAACATTATAGTTACCCTATCCACCTTCTTTTGAGGATAATATATTTGTCTTGACCATGCATTTTACCATCACATAGGTCTCCAGAAAGGGCCAAATCCCCAGTTACTTCAAAGTAATGAACCCTTCAGTCCTACACAAACAACTAAGGCAGTTCTCCAAGACCTTTCATTTTTCATTACATATGAAGTATATGTAAAAGAAAAATGGATCTTCGAGAAGCAACAGATAAGTCTCCACTTCAGAAGATTGCCAAGTGCTCCTCTCAGTTTGAAGCAATGGGAATGAGGCACCTTTGCTATCCCAATGCCTCTGCAGGAAGTGGGTCCGGCCACCAGATGAGAACGGGGGGCTTGGATGAGGAGCATCTAGTTACTGTCCTGTTCATTAACTTCTGCCATTCCATAAACCTGTGAAAGAGACCACCATACAAAATTAGATTTCTCACAATCTAACTGTATATTTGTATGATATTTTAAGATCTCCTAACTGCTGGGCAATGGCTACTAACAATTGTCTTGCACCGGCCTTCTGATGAAATGTTGACAATGCCTATTGTAATATAGACAAAACATTTTATCTACTGATTTGGGCTGAATGTATGTAAATAGGTTTGTTTGTTTTTTTAAAAAGTCAGACATTTGAGCGGTGGCCTACAAATCAGTAATTTTTAGCTAGGAGAGTTTCTTGTCATTGCTGTGGCACCTAAAGCTATCTTCATGTAAACTTAGTATACTAGGCCTGCTGGAGATCAGAGTCCTCAAGAAAGGAAACCTTTTCTTGTAATAATATGAATCAAGGCACCAGATGATCTGAATTCTTATTTCCGATGTTTCAAGTGGAAAACATAGCTCTTTATTGTCTGTAAATCTAACACGATTACTTTTCCTCTTAGAAGAATATTGTATTGTTAGATGTTTGTTGAGCTGGTAACATCCTTGCAACTGCTGCAATATCTTTGTTAGTAATCTGTATAATACTTTGTACACAAGTACTGGTAAGATTGTTATTAAATGTAGCTTCAGTCATTAAATTACTATAGCAAGGTAGTACTTCTGTAATATTTACAATGTATTAAGCCCACAATATATTTTATTTCTATGATGTAATTAAACTGTTATTTATTCAAAGAGAACACATTCCATCATGTCTAGTGTCTAAAGTTACCTGGAATTAAATAAACATTTTAGATTATCATGAAGAACATAAGCCTTCAGATTCCTTATTTCATAGTCCAATGTTAGCACAGTGAGGATTTCATTATTAAAAAGACTTTTTAAACAATTTGTCTAAATAAAACAGACTTTAGGGACATGGACATATTGGATTGATACATTCATTAAGTTAGGAAAAATATGCAAAAATCATCATTTACACAATAAAGGAAGAAAAAGCATGCCATAGCATGTTATTAAAGAGTTGGATAGTTTTACATTAAATTAAAACAAATATACTATTCAGGGTCTATAAATTAAATTTGGGCTTTTCTTAGTAAAACTTATATACACTTAAATCATAAATGGTCATTGATTTTCAACATAGTTTATGTAAATGTATAATTTTTATTTGAATACTTCAAAAATTTTATAATGATAAAGCAAAAAGCACTATAATTAAATTTACACATTGCTTGCTGAGACAAATTATATTTGCAATAATTATGAAAGCTTTTAAGTTTTTTAAGTGATGGTGCATTTTCAAATAGATTATTTGTTTCTTATAACTATAATGAAAATTTATGATTCTTCCCTGTTTCGGAAATACTCTGGCTAGCTGCATGAACTGGATGCTTCTTACAAAATACAAATGGCATATACCCTTAGCCTTACATTTTAAACTGGGACTTAATGGGAAAGGGGCATTTGAGTATGCTCATCATAGCATCTTAAAAATTATAAACACTCACCTCCAATCAATAATATGTATTTCCACCCATACTGCAGTATACATTTAGGATAAAATAGAAACCAAAAGCCAATTGAAATAGACCACAGTCTCCACCAGGATAGCTCCCAATGGAGAGTCACGCACTCACCCTCCACCTTTCTGGGTTGTGTTGCCCTGAGTTGACGTTGAAGCCTGTGAAGGCCTCAGCTCCCTGTTAGGAAATAGAAAGTGAGCAGTAAACACTGGCGTCTCTTAGCTCCTTGTCTCTGGAATGCTGGTGGATAATGTTTGCGATGGAAGTATCTGGCTAACTAAACATCATGGACTGGGTGGGTCTCTAATCACCTAAGAAGTGTAGGTCGAGCTCTTGTT